CCTCCTGGGGCAAATTTTCAAATTGCAAAAGGGATTCTAGTAGGGATAGGAGGCTAGCAAGTCTGTTGAGAAAGTGTTAAAGGTGCAGTCCTTAACAGCACAAAATAGAGTTTTATTTTAGATCAGGTAGCTCAAAGATTACCAGTATGATTTCAATGTATTCATATGGTATAACCCAACAAACAAATTCAATAACTAATGAAAGCCTTAAACTTTATAACAATAGATGCATGTCATTTGCCCATGGTCACATCTGAGGAAAATATTCTAGTGAACACTGCCTTTCTTTAAAGGACAGTCTTGCTTACAAATCTCAAAAATCACAGAATTCTAAAATGAAAATTAAAAAATATGTACTATTTTAGTGACATATAAAAACAATTTCATTTTTTTCATCTATTCACTATTAAAATAAAATTGGATACTATTAAAATAAAATTGGATGATTGAATGCCATAACGTCATTAACTGATTAGCCACCATGAATACTGCACTTTCAGCATAATTGTATAGATTCTGGGGACAGAGTATACAATTGTTTAACTCTAAAAACCCTTCTAAAATACAAAATATTCTTTTAAGTGCCTTTTAATCCAGTTGGTGTCATTCCGGGGCTTTAGGAAAGGTGAGTCAAATCTACAAAAAAGTAACCTACAAAAAGAATTCCCGTGATTTTGCATGTTATTGTTTCCATTTCTATACCTCCGTGTAGCTGTGCTAAGAGATCCTTATTAATAAGGAACATGTAATGTGATCCTAAAATCTTGAACAGTTCAAGATGTGGCCTCTACTTTTCAATGAAGATGGCTAATGTAAACTCATATAAATGATAAAACTCATACAAATATGGATTACCATAACTAAATATATAACTAACCTAACTAAGTGAGAACATATGCAGGAAAATGGTGAATAAAAAGGGAAATGCATAATACTCTTTTCAAATAAAGCTTTAAAAATTAATATTAAGACTTAGAAAAATATTGGCCAAAATAAAAAGGAGAAGACATTGCATCATCAGCCCAACTATAGTTGAGACAGCTATAACTGTGCAATGCTGGCATCGTTCTCCCCTGAGAAAGGATTAGTTTTATATAGAGCAATGCTTGAATGTTCAAACTGGCAATTCAGGTGCTTTATTGAAGTCATTTGGGAACATCACTTTCTGTGAAGATTGGCTATACCTTTCTCAGTTTGTACTCCAAATAAAATGCAAGTTTCCCTTTAATTACCATGTTATGAATTGTACAGTGTAGGCTAAAAGGAAATGTGATAACGTACACTTAAACTTTTCATTAGACTACCAAAATACAAATCCTACCTTTTTGTGCACTCTGACATTTTTGTCTGGCATTTTCATTAATTTTGCGACATACATAAATGTAGCTGAAATGTTAGCTGATCAATACTTTGTCTCTTTCTTGTAGCACTAGAGTGCATTTCCCTGAAGACCACATAAGCAGTACAGGAATTAAATGTGTAAAATATCAAATGTTAATGTTAACACAGCAACACTTACTGTGTAACAACTGAAAAGGCTAAAACAATTCAAAATAGACAAATGACACCACAAATTATCCACAATCTTATTTAAAGATTAAAGTTTGTCCTGCAAAATAATTCACTGACTCGTGTTGAAGTATGTCCTTTTACTGGTTTAGTTATCCAATTATTTTTCTGTTCGTTATAGTTAGTTGACAGTACATGAGAGGTTGCATACATTCCCTCCTCTTCTGCCCTATATCCTCTCACACTTTCTAACAGCCACAAGTGCATGAACATCTGGTCAAGAGCCTGAAGAAAATTAAACCCAATTTAGAAGACATTTGATAGGTTATTCCAAATACAATCCTCACCATTTCTGTGTATGTGGTAACTTCCTTACACTTGTTATGCATAAGAATATTCTGGAATAATCACTGCATATTGCTATTATGTAGAAGTAGTTAAAACGCTGCACTGAAATATGAAAAACTGTAGTTTATTTAGGTTCTAATCAAACAACTTTATATGCTCAAGCATTCAAGTCGCTTTTACTTACTGTATGTTTTTAACATGTGAAGAAGATTAATGCAACAAATTGTACTGTCATATTAAAGTATGAAATCTATTGTTTTTCCAGGCATTCAGAAAGAGTTCTACTACCTAAATCCAGGTAAGTACTATGTATCTTTAAAAAACCTACTTTAAATCCTATAAGTTAGAACCAGAGTTGCCCTCTGTGAATGCAAAAGCTCTTTCCATTGGTGCAGGGAATTGGGATATAGCAAAGATCCCCTGTTGGTGGAAGGAGTGGGGTGGTAAAGTTTGCCAATTCTTCTGTTCCTCACCAGCATCTCAGACAGCACTTGGGGGGAGGGGTGTTCCAATCCTTTCCTTCAAAGCAGGATTTCAGAGACATGGATGTTTGCTAGAGGAGGGTGAGGATAGGACTGGCAAAAATTGCATGGCTGCCAATCTTTACCTTTGGAATCATCCAGTTCACAGAATTCTACTCAACATTATCCCACCCATATTAATTAAAAATAATAAGAATTGATCCTTTAGTTTGTCATCTCTTCATCCTTTAGGGTGAATCTCAAATCCACTGAATTCAATGGCCTGTAAGAAATCCACATGTAGAACTGTAGACTAACTGTAGAACTGCAATCCTGCAGTCAGTTAATGTGTTCATAACACAGAGATTTTACTGGGGCACACAAAGTACAACTCTTCTCAGAACAGGCTTCCAAAAATCATGTCTCTGCTGCAGTCTTCTGATACAACTTTAGGTTGTTGACTTGTGACAAACTCTTTGGTATAAGCAGCTAAGTATCAACAGTCTTTATAAAAGGTCTTTGAAGTCACTCAGAAATCTGCATAAACAGTGTTGATATACAGATTACAGTATACAAAGATGAAGGTGTTTTTTCTTTTTAGATTCTTTCATGAGACCCCTTAAGTGCCCACCTGCCAATGGCAGGCAGACAAACTGTATCACCTGTCTGTAATGACACAGCATGACATCACAGCAGATTACTTAATAGCTCCAAAAAGGCAGGGCAGGCACTGAGATCATTGGGCAGAGAAGGCAGGGCAGAGAAGAGAAAGATGACTTTATGGAAGAGGAAAAATATAGCCCCCTGCGCTACTGGCTCTGAGCTTGTCAGTTATGAAGCATCAGTCTCCATTAAAAGACAGACATTGTTTAAGGAAGGACAACTTATTGGTTACCTGGTTATTACAGCTGAGGTAAAAACACGTAATCTTCTGTAATAACCTTCTATAACCTGTATCTCTTTGAAAGCCATCCAAGACAACTGGTTACTACATAATGTGTTTCAAGAAGTGTTAAACGGTTTGGGACCAAATTACCTTCACCCATTTCAAACAGCCCACACTTTAAGATCAGCAAGAGATACCCTTCTCATGTGTCTACCTGTGAATCAAGTCAGGTGGGTGACCATACAAAAGCAGGCCTTTGCCACAGTGTCCCTTCACCTCTATAACAAATTACCTTCTGGTCTCTATCAGGACTGAATAACTGCAGACTTTTAGGAAGATCTTGAAAGCATGCTATTTTGCTTTAGCCTTTCCTTGATACATTCACTGTAGTTGCTGTTTAATATTGCATCAGTTTTTATGAAGTGTTTTATTACTGTATGTTGCTAGGGAGGGCTTCTGCCCTCAAAGGTGGCCAATAAATATTATAAATAGATAAATGCCTGCGTTCCTTGAGGTAGCATATTGACATCATGAGTCTTATGTCCCTCAGAATAAAATTTGCTTTTATATCAGCATGTTAGTTTTTACTATTAAGTTACACCTTACCTCTTTCAAAGGGAACAATATCATAGATGCCACGTGGTTGCTAATTATTTATGTCCAAACAAAAGAAAAAAATTATCAGGTACCTGAATAAAAATGTTTATTTTGTCTAACACATTTATCTTGGGCATTTCAAACTAAAATAAACATTGTAAGGATTGTATATCTTCAAAAAGCTAAGAGCTCCTGTGTGAAGTTAAAAAAAACCCTGTTTTCCTCAGACATGATGGGCAAAACTTTTCTCCTCAGACACCTGACAAGTTTTTTTCCCTCTTTTATTTGGTGACATATAACTCCTTCCCTTTGTGTTGTCTCCAACTTCTGTATGACCATTCCCTGTGTAACTCAGCAGCATTTGAACTCAAGAGTCCACAGGAGACAGTGTTGTCAATACCAGTGTTGTCCTTGCGCAGACATAAGCAACATGGTAAATCAATGTCATAGCCACCTCCCACATGATTTCCCAGGCTTAACAGCATGGGAAGCAACCATACAACAGCAACAATGCCAATTTTTAAAAAGTAAACCTCACTTTCTGAAACTTTCATTTACTGACACAACAACTCTTCATCAAGATTCCTAGAATGTCACTACCATATATCTCAAATACTGAAATCTTTCATTGCCAGTTTAAATAAGCTGTTACCCTTTGGCTTCTTTCAATTCTTAGCATGCTCCTAAACTGAGCCATAACAATTGTCAACAGTAGCAAGGAAAATAATTAGATGCAAGTTAAGAGTGACACTGACATTAAACAGTAATAATTTATAGCAAATCTGTTTTTGGGGGGTGCAGGATAGAGTAAGAGCCATGAAAACCCCATTGAGGTTGTCTGGTGAATGGAAACTTAATATAAACCTTTAAAGAAACAACTGAGAACTCATTTGTCTCAGAGGCTGGAGTGGTTTAAGAGAGGATGATGAGTGACATATTAAAGAGTTCTCCTGGCCAGCAGTGCTCAAAGAAAAATTCTGCAACTTCAAGCTTCTTGGTACCTAATGCTTACGATACTTTTGTCTTGGAGGCCACTGATGTACCAGTACACTACTGGCTGTAACAGTATTAACTTTAAACTAATTATAATTTTAATAGAATGCTTATTGATAAAGTTGAGGCCATAGCATATTTCTTTTGCATAAACATATCACTAACATTATGGTTAATATTCATAAGGCATGAATAAAATAACATACCAAAAAAGCAGCAAGACTCCTTGGTGGTGAATCCCAGTCAAAGCAACTGTTTATATAGTAGACAGCATTTATGAGTACCATAACACAACGCTTTGTACGCATGAAGTTCCTTAGAAGAAGCTGAAGAAAGAAACATGCAGCATACATTAGCTTGGTTTGTGCAGTTTAGGCATGGAGGCTCCTCAGAACGTAGAGTTCAACTTAAAATGTGCCAAATAGAATTTCATTCCGATAGGACAAAAAGCAGAAATGGCCACCTAGTTATTGATCAACAAGACGGTCAGTAGGTGCCTTGATAAAGGCTTTGCTCTGTTCTGTTGTACTATAGCACCAAAATAATGAAAGCCACAATACAGTGACATCAAAGTTTTATTTCTAAATATGCTTGTCTGGGGTACTAAGATTCAAAGATCTAATAAATATATTGACCTAGAATTTTGTTAATGTCATTATGAAATTGACCTTATCCATTTTAGTTATTAATGAGATGACTGGTTGTGAGAAATCATGTATGAAACTCTGAAACACTCTCTCTGAGGCAATTTTAGCCAGCATTTTTACATTTAAACTATGACAATATAATAGTATCACATGAAGAGAAAGAATAAGAAGTTTCTCTTTAAGTGACTATGATGACTTTAAACAGTAGTTGGGAAAAAAATAACTTGAATCTAACCATGTAGTACATCTAGGAACAATATTCGCTGACCTATAGGAAACATACAGCCTTGAGAGAGATTTACCTTTAAAGATAACATTAAAATATTTTAAATAGATGAATACAATAAAATAAAAATGGTAGATTTCATTCCAGGTTAAAAGTCTTTCTGCTGTTTTTAAAAAGAACTCCTTTTCATGAGTTTCTTATGAAACAAGCCAAGGTTTTAAGAATATACTTGATTTGTGGCTAATATTTACATGTATTTTGCTACGCTTTTTCACAAATGAGTCTAACAATTTCTAAGAAGTAGTTAGAGAGAATTACCCACTTGGAATAAAATACCTTTTTGTGTTATAAAGAGTGCTTGCTTACTTTCTGATAATAGAAATATTATTTTGCTCCTTGTAAAAGCTATTAACTGAAAGGTACTCTACATTTTATGTAAAAATTATACAAATACTGAACAATATATGAATACAATCCTGCAAAACAGAGTAATTTAGATTCTGACAATTTAACAACCAAATTCTAAGCCTGAAAAAAAGAAAAGATGATCAGCATGGTTGTAGGATTATTTTAAAATAAGTTCACATGAAAGCATCTAGCAGAATTGTGCTTATTAAACAGTTACTACTGGTAAATATTAAATATTAAACACTTGTGGAAATGAGATCACATGCATATCAATTGGCCTTGAAGATTCAAATGAATTGTTTTTTGTTTCCTTGATTAGGATTCTAAAAAGCACCACAGAATTAAAACTACAAGAACAAAAGGCCAATACATTCCCTAATCCACAACAATATGAGAGTTCCTCCAGGTCAAAGTTAGCCACAAAAATTTATGCTAGACTAAGTTTACATCCACCTGCACCATAACTTGATACATAGGAGTAGACTGATGACTTTAAGTTCTCTTGTACACTTTTCACAAAGATTGAACTCTGACAACTAGGGATAGATATTAACATTTATATTATTGTCTCCTTTGAAATTTTCAAATAAGTTCTAAGTATGATAGCTATTTTTTTTCCTTTCAGTGCTTGACAAAAATAATCATGAGTTTACACTAGATATCAGGTCTTCTGAAAGTAAATTAGTCTTATCTAATGCTTTACCTGTTTGGAAATTCTGTTCTCTTCTTCAATATACTTCTGTTCTTTGGGCATTAATGTTCGTAAGCTGGCTTTTACCTATACACCAAAACATCATATTTAGGGGGTGGTATATACATAATTTAAAATCATCATTACAATATTTCAAAGTCAGGGGCCAAGACTATAAGCTAGAAATGTGTGGCGTGGAAGCTCATGTTTGTGTATACATTATCAGCAGTAGAGCAAAGTGAAAATGTGTGGGTGTTTCAGCCAGCGGCAGAAGAGCATTCTGCAGCATACATCAAGGTTTAGAGAAAATGAGGAATGACAGAAATTCTCTACAAATCAGGAACAAAAGCTTTCATGAAACTGAACTCTTTAGCAGTACAAAAAAGCCAAAGTTAAGACTTACAGCATTAAAAATCACATCTATTTCAAGATAGATGACCCCCTTTGTTGGCCCTGTCAGCTGCTTGTTTTTCAAGACGTAGGCTTTCTGTTCACCATTTTGAATCTGCAGGAAAAGGACATGACAGCCGTCTGTCTCGCAGTCTCCACTGAATACACTCCCTCAGTGACCTTTGACCCCCAGCTGCTGAAACTGACAGAGAACCCAAAACAACTGTGGCAATTCTGACAAGTACCTGTTCATTACCAGGACCAAGTCTGTCAGGAAAAATTAACTATCATGGGATTCAACATGGCCGAGAATTGAGTATGTTAAATTTTTTTATTGTTTTTATTACAGACCTTAGTTGAGAAATGACAGACGGCACTGATTTTTTTCCATGAGCATAAAAACATACAGACTGGTGTGTCAACTAAATAACAATAACAACAAAAACAATAATAATGACTTACGGACAGCAATGGTATAGCCACTTTGCCCAGGAAGTCAGCACTCCGATCTCGATCTTCATCGTAAACTGACACTTCAAGAACTGAGTGGATATCTTTAATATTGCTATGAAAGGGGTGGAACAGAAATAGATGCAAAAACACATCACTGAATCCTTACCAAGGTGTATGCATTAACAAGTTATATAAAAATCAAGTGCTGCATGAATTTTAAAGGCTTATATCAGGATAAGAGGCAAAAAAGAGATTAACTGAAGTAGGAATGCATAGAAATACAATGAACACCATTTTCTTCAACCTGATACTTTCCAAATGTATTTTAACTTCCATAACTATTTGGAATGATGGGACTTGTAATCAACTGATCTGGAAGGTACCAGGTTGGGGAACATGAAACTACATCTTGTTTATCTTCATAATCCTCAGCATTATGCATCCCACAAGTAGAATAAGACAAACTTTTGCTAATGCTTCTAATTGAGAGCATGAGCATTTGCAGCGTAATGAAATATAATCTTAATTGTTCAAAAAGCCCACTACACTGTAGGCCTTGAATGAAAAACCGACATGACTAGATCCCAAGTACATGTACTAAAGGTTCCACAATAACTTGTAGGTGGCAAATTTGGAACTGATTAAGGAATTTAGAGAGTTCTGTCACTCACTCACAATTCTCCTTAAATTATGGAGCAACAATATTAGTATTGAGAGCCAGTGTGGTGTAGTGGTTAAGAGCATGGGACTGTGACTCAGACGATCTGGGTTCTAGTCCCCGCTCAGCCATGGAGTCAACTGGGTGACTTTGGGCCAGTCACAGACTCTCAGCCCAACCTACCTCACAGGGTTGTTGTTGTGGGGATGAGATGGAGGAGGAGATATAAGATGCCTTGAGCCCTTTGTAGGAAAAAGGCAGGATATAATCAAATAAATGAATAAATAAAAATTATGAGGACCAGCCTGCCCTAGCCTGAGAAATTAGCATTCCTGCACTTCTCCCTTTTTCCAGCAAGACCACTAGGATAAGTTCAGACAAGTTTCATTTCCATTTTAGATTAAATGAAGATTAAAGTATCATGTGACCCCTCTACTGTTTTAAACTATAACTATGGTTAGATGAAACTAGTCAGCTTCATACACTGTAAATTATTCAAACAACCAACTAAATGGAAGCAAAAGCTTTTGAACTTCTCCTAGTGGCTGTGTCAGAAGAAGAGGGAAGGTCAGGGAATATGAATCTATAGCTTGCTGAAGCTGATTTGGATACTTTATCATTAGGCCCAAATTAAACCATGTGATTAAATACTGGCACTATACTGTCAGTATTCAGGAGCTACTAATATTTAGTTTGGAACAATTATTCAAAGTTCTTCCTAAAATTGTTCCAAGTAATTACACTCTGATTAGAACAGTTGTCCAGGAAATATGTACAGGAATAAGCCACAGTACAATCAACTAAAGTATAATTGAATAAATAATGAAAATGTGTTGAAGGAGGTACATGTGTTTTCTGTTAAGTCTAACATTGTAAATAAGAGTTGGCATAACTATCTCTCTCTCTCTCCTTCTCTTCAAGATGCACAACTTTCCAGATGATTTTCAAAATTCACTGAGATGATAGATGATGAGAATTGGGGGTTGATTAATGACTCTCAGGTTTACAATTAAGAACATATTAACAATAAGCAAGTTAGTAATACATGTATCATGTTTTCCAGGTGTACATTAGCATTGCTCCCGATATCAGCCAGTGCAAGAGGGCAGTCAGAATCTGACCTTTCCATCCCCTCTTCTATACTGCAATAATGCTCCCTTGAGACCCTGGAAACATACTACTGCCCTAGCCAGAGAAGATGCCTTCATCCAATTCTCCATTATCTCTTACTTCATCCTCTGCTACACGTCACTCCACCCAGCAGGCCTCTGACCTTCAAGGGGACTTTTCTAAGGGACTCTGTTGGTTGATGGAGAGAGAAAAGAGCAGGGAAGTCATCTTCTACTTATTCTTTTCCACAGAAAGATAACTGAATCCAACTTGCTGAGGCAAATGTTAAGCACAAGATAAAGAATGTTGGCTTCCTACATATGGTATACCTTAGATAGTAAGAATTCACTTTGTCTGTGCTGCGCCATTCATATTACTGTGTAACTGTAGTTGGTTTTACAAAGCATAGCTACTAGAAAGTCACACTTCTGTTAAAAATGCACATCTCTGCAAAATATGCAGTCTGACTAGCCTAGTAGTCCTATTAAGAGCATCTGGACTGGTAGAAATGGAACAGAAAATAAAAAGACTATAGTCATTGAAATATATTACTGATCACCAGTCAAAGAGAAGATGAGAACAAAACATTTGAAAAACAAATTGCCAGTGTTCCAAGGAGGCATGATGTTGTTATTAGGGAGACTTCAATTTCCCTGATATCTGTTGGGAAACAAATTCTGCCAAATCTGGTCCTTCCAAGAGAGTCCTACCATGCATTACTGATAACTTCCTCCAACAGAAAGTAGAGAAGGAATGAGAATAACAGCTATTCTCAAATTGATACTAACCAACAGGGAAAACCTAATGAAGAAAGCGGCAGCTACAGGAACTCTGGGAGAAAGTGACTATGCCATACTTCAATTCTCAATTATAAAGGAAGTAAAAGCCAAATGCAGTGAAACAGAACAATGATAAGTGAAGCCCCAACGCAAGGGACTCTAAAGGAAAAGGATTCCAAGATGGGTGGGAAATCTCTTAAAAAGAAATTCTAAAGGCACAAGTACAAACAATTCCAGAAAGGAAAAAGGGTAGAAGACTAGGGAGAAAATACATGGGGCTTCACAAAAAGCTACAAGATAATCAAAGGACAAAAATGGATATGTAAAGGAAGTAGAAGGAAAGCCAGGCTTCAAGGAAAGAATATAGATGGGTAGCACAGAATTGCAGGGATGCCACCAGGAGGGCTAAAGCTAGGAAGGAACTGAGGCTAGCAAGGGATGCTAGAAGCAACAAAAACAAACCTTGTTCAGGTACATCCAAAGTAAAAGACAGAGGAAAGAGAAGGAAATTCAACTACTCAATGTGGATGGTAAAATGATAGCAGATGTCAAAAGGAGAAGTGTTCAATTCCTAGTTTGACTCAGGCTTCTTCCAAAAGATCTACAACTTTCTTAACAAAGGGGAGGTACAAGCTGAAGGTGAGAGATGACATTTCAAGATTGATAGGCAAATGGTCATAGATCATCTAGTTGGGTTAAATGAGTTCAAATCCCCAAGGCCTGATGAACTCCATCCTAGAGTCATAAAGGACCTACTGGAAGAATTCTCAGAAACACTGCTTATCATTGAGAATTCATCGAGGACAGGGGAAGTGTCAGACAACTGGGAAAGGGCTAATGTTATCCCTATCTTCAAGAAAGAAAGAAAAATGAGCCTAGGAACTACAGACCAGTCAATCTGATAGCCCTGGAAAATTCTGGAGCAAATTATACAACAGTCAGTCTGCAAACACCTTGAAAGCAATGCAGTGATTAATAGAAATCAACATGGACACATCCTACCAGACTAATGTGATTTCATTTTTTAACTGGGTTATCAACCAGGATGGATTGCAGTATTAGTGTGGGCATTCTCTATCTTGACTTCAGCAAAGCTTTTGACAAAGTGCCCAAGACATCCTGATTAGCAAACTAGTAAAAAGTGAGTTAGATAGAACAACAATCAGATGGATCCACAGTTGGCTACAGAATCAGACTCAAAGAGTACTCAGCAATGGTACCGTCTCAAATTGCAGAGAGGTAACAAGTAGGGTGCTGCAGGGTGCTGTCCTGGCCCCTGTGGCTGTTCAACAATTTTATTAATCATTTACATGAGGAAGTACAGGAAACCATTATAAAATTTGCAGATTACACAAATTGGGTGGCATAGCAAATACCCTGGAAGACAGAAAGAAGATTCAAGGAGATCTTGATAGGTTAGAACACTGGGCTGAACACAATGGAGTGAAAATCAATAGGAACAAATGACAAGTTCCAGAAAAAAAAAAAAAAAAAACCAAATGCATCACCACAAGATGGGGAATGCTTGGTTCCACAATAATACAAATGAGAAGGATCTTGAATTGTGATAGATCACTAGCTAAATATTAGCCAAAAAGGTGACATAGCTGCAAAGAAGGCAAATGCTATATTAGGCTGCATTAATAGAACTGTCACTTCCAAATCTAATGAAGTACTAGTTCCCCTATACTCAGAACTAGTCAGACCCCATCTGGAATACTGTCTCTGGATCTGGGCACCACAGTTTAAGAATGATGCAGACAAGCTGGAAAGGGCTTAGAGGAATGCAATAGGGATGATCCTGGGACTGAAAACAATTCCCTATGAGAAGAGATTGCAATAACTGAGTATGCTCAGCCCTGAGAAGACTGGGGGTGGGGTGGGGGATGATAGAACTCTACAAGCACTTAAAAGGCTGTCACAAAGCGAAAGGACAGGATCTCTTGTCAATCATCCCAGCGTGCAGGATATGGAATAACAGCCAAATTACAGAATAACAAAGCCAGATTCCAGCTAGATATCAGTAAAAATTTCCTGACAGAGCAGTATGACAATGGAACCAATTACTTGGGGATGCTGGGGGTTCTCCTGCACTGGAGGCATTCAACTGGACAGACATCTGAGTGGGATGGTGTAACTTGTTCTGCACTAGCTGGGTGGTAGACTTGATGGCCTTCTAGGTCCCTTCCAACACACTATTCTGTGATTCTGTAATTCTGTGACCCCAGCAGTAAGTGTATAATCAGAGCAACAGAGCTTAAGTAGTTCAATGGACCATGTAGCCCAATTCTCTCATCATTCTGTCATCAGCACTGAGCTCCATCTACCACCACCACAATCATCCCAGAGCTTCATTCCCAACAAATCAGCAACTTCCATTACCTTATAAATTAAAACCAGTGCCTTTTAAACTAGTGCATGTCAGAACTTAATAGTCATACACACCAAAGCCCCAAATGATTTTCTGTGGATATGTATCAAAAAGTGACAAATATAATACTTTTAGCTAAAAAAAAGAATGCACAGGGTCAAGTGGTACTTCAAAGGCAGATAAGCTTTCATGCACCAAGCCCACAGCTGGAAGATTATTATCTTATATATGAATGATTACTGCATAAAACAAAACAAAGGTAAACAGACCATTCAATGGCCATGAAACAGCTATGAAATATAAGAAATAATGAAAGTTCCTTATAAACTTTAGGTAAGCAGGTTGTCCATTCACAACAGCAGAAATAGGCTATACCACCTTCATCCTGGCTTCACTATCATGGCACCTCTCTTAACTTTTAAATTACTGAATAATCAAATAAAAATAAAAACAACTATAGAAATAGCTCCTGCCTCACATTTTAAGGCTTGCTTCTGCTTGCTTTATTTCTTCTGTGCTCCTCTTTACCTTCATGAATCCTTTCAACCTTTTTTCAGAGAATTAATTTCAATATAACAGAAGATTGAATAGGTGAGGATTAGGGATGGGTCAACTTACATTGGGAATTCCTGCTCAACACTGCATGAAAGATTTCTAGAGAGGCAACATGAGAATCAGTGTGGTATAGCAACTGGACCATTGAACAGGCACTCAGGAGATCCAGGTTCTAATCTCTACTTGGCCATGAAACCCAATGGGTGTCTTTGGGCCAGTCACTGGCTCTCAGCTAAACCTACTTCGCAGAGACATTTTAAGGAAAAATGAGAGAAGTAGGATAACCATGTAAGCCTCAGGTTCCTTGCAAAGGGATAAAAAGGCAGGATATAAATGTAATCATAAATAAAACCTCAGTATCATTTTGGTGGTACTGTTTCGCTTCACCTACATTTAAAGCTAAAATCACATAGAACTGTCATATTAGTCATATATGCAGGGCTTTTTTTGTCATAGAACGTACCGGAATGGCGTTCCGGAACCATTTTTTGATGGATTTTTCCAAGTGATTATGAATCGCCCTGTTGGGCGTAGCAGGTCGGGCGGCAAAATCATTAACATAGTGCTTGCGGGCTGCTTGTGTGTTGGCGCTGATTGTGAGGGTACTGCTCGGCTTGGGATGCTGCTCGGCTTGGGATCGGTCATGTGGTCACATGCCGAGTGCTTACTGCCGGCGGCGACCATTGTGTAAAAATGTGACCCCAAGACCTGAGTTCCGGCACCTGCATATATGTATGGTGAATGTACAACTCAGTGGTATAGCACATGCTCTGCATGCAGGAAGGTCTCAAGTTTAATTCCTGGTACCTCCCACTCAAAAAGAAAAAAAAGGGAAAAACCAAAAAGAATGCTAAAACAAAATCAAAGCAAAAACCTATTGAAAGCCTTAAGTGCTTCTGACACTCAAAATTAACAATACTGAGCTAGTTGGTCCATGTACAGACTCAGTATGCTTCATATGTTCCCTATGACATCTTTCTCACCATCACTTTAATAGTAGCAGAGTCATAGGAACATAGCTTGGCTTGCCTGAACAATTAATAATAACAATTGGAACCAACATTATAAAGGCCTCTGCCTAGTCACTTCAAACTTCAAACACCGGGCAATACTACCTACAAAGTAAATTGGCAGTTAGAATATCACCATCCAGAAGGCCAAAAGATTCCAACACATACCTTTGCTTATTCAATGATATATGTTGTTCTGATTAATAAAGCAGAGCAATTTATCTCTTGATACATTTGAAAAAACTAGCAAGACCTTCAAGAAAAGGAAGCCACACATTAAGACTTACAAGGTAAAGATTTTGTTCCATTCAGGATTAAGGTTCTTGTATACTGTGTGGGTCAACAGTCTGTCGTTGCTCAACTCAACAACACAAAAGGGATCACTTTTACCTGAGAAAAGACAATTTTAACAACATTCACAAATGTTGATTTAAAATTACCATTGCATGCTATATAACCTGAATTCACACTATAAAGACGTTCTAACATTTCTATTCACTAATTTTGCAATGCAGCATGCTGTACACCATTTTTACAATTTCGACTGCAAATTGAGTAATTATTGTGATGGCTGGAAGATTTAGGAAGCAGCTCTGAATCATTTCATTTAGGGACAGCATATTACAAAAGTTATGTATTGTCAAGTTACCACTGACTAATGGCAACCCCATGCCCTCCAGAAAGTCCCATTCGTCTGCCCAGCACTTGTAAATTCAAAATTGTGTCTTCCTTTATGAAGTCAATCTACCTCCTACTTGGTCTTCCCTTTCTTCTTCTGCCTTCAGCTTTCCCTAGCACGATCATCTTATCCAGTGAGTCTTGCCTTCCCGTGATGTGCCCAAAATATGACAGCCTCCGTTTTGTCACTTTTGTTTTTATGGAAAGTTCAGCCTTGATTTGATTGAGGCCCCACTTGTTCGTCTTTCTGCCAGTCCAGGGTATTTGACCTAAGATCTATTTGTCTTTCTGCGGGTCCAGGGTAGTTTGAAAAGCTTTCTCCGGCATGTTTCAAATCCATCGATTTTCTTCCTGTCAGCTTTCTTCACTGTCTAGGTTTTATACTCATACATAGGAATTGGAAATAAAATTTTGCGGCTGATCTTCCTCTGGTCTGCAGTAAAATGTCCTTAAGATGATCTTGTCTTATGCCTTTATTGCTGCCCTCCCATATCTCAGCCATCTTCTAATTTCTCTGAAGCAATCTTGCTTGGAATTGATGGCTGAGCCAATGTATAAACAAACTTTCACAATTTCAGTTTCTTCATTGTTGACAGTAATGTTCTGTGATTCTTCTGTAGTCATCATTTTTGTTCTCTTAATAGTCTGCAGCAGTCCTGCTTCTGCAGTTCTTATACTTTTGTTAGGAGACATTTCAATTCATTGCTACTTTCTGCCAGTAATATAGTATCAGATGCGTATCTTAAATTAGTGATTTATTTTAAATTATCTTCCATCAATTTTCCTTTTTTCTTCTGATCCTAAGTCAGCTTTTCTTATCTTATTTTTTGTGTACAGATTGAACAGATACAGAGTGAAAATATGCCCTTTTCTGACATCTTTGCCTATAGGAAACCAGTCTGTTTCTCCATAATCTATTCTGACAGTAGCTTCGTGCCCATGATACTGATTATGCATCAGGACAATCAAGTACATAAGCAAACTCATTTTATTCCAGGAACATCCATAACTTCTTGAGATCCACACTGTTATATGCTGCAGTCCATAAAGCACTGACTGATCTTTCAAAATTCTTCAGTGTGCTGCAGTAGCCAACAATATGATTTCAAATGTCTCCTCCTCATTTTGGCATCTAGCTTGAATGGCAGGCATTTTTCTCACCACAAAGCACTAGTCTTTGTTGCAACACCTTGAGCATCACTTTGTTTGCATGGGAAATTATTGCAATAGTTTTATGATTGCTGCATTTTTTGCATCTGGTTTCTTGGGGAACAGAATGTATTTTGAAGGTTTCCAGTTTTGCTTTCCATGTTTGCTGGTGTAATATATTTGGTTTTGGATCAATTCAGTCTCTGAAGCTTTGAACAGTTGTTGGTATCTTATCTACTTCATTTGCTTGCTTCATTTTGAGCATTTTGAACGCTTGCTTCATTATGAGTATTTTCAGAGCACCCTTCACTTCACTTTCAAATACTGTAGGCTCTTCATTGCACATTTCCTCTTTAAAGGAGTCTGCCATCCTTTCATCTCTTCTGCATAGTTTTTGGTACATTTGTTCCACCTTCTATTTTCTCCCAGATAGTTATGTCTCCCTGTTTGTTTTCCAGCATTCCTAATCTAGTTTTGAGTTTCCTTTTGATTTCCTTGATCTTCTGAAAAAGACAACTTGCTTTTCCATTTTTCTTGTTGTCTTCTAGTTCTTTGCACCGATCATTGTAATTGTGCCTTTTGTCTCTATGTAATCATTGCTGAAAAGCTGCATTCAGGATTCTGACCCCATTTCTTCTCATTGCCTCTTAGTAAGCTAGTAAACTATTGCTTCTCATCTGTTCTTAGTAAGCATGTGTGTTTCTTCTGTCATCCATCTAAGCTTTTCTCTTTCTTTTTGTATCAAGAATTATCCTTTGGCATTATTTAATTTGTACTATGGTACTAAACGTCTTTTAGTGGCCTACCTAAGGTTTACTCTGATTTTGATATTAAGAGTACACCATCTACTTGATTTCTATATTGGCCATTTGGTGATGTCTACATATATGGTCATCTGATTGGTTCCTTGAATTATGTATTTATGATAAACAGATAATTGTTTTCACAGAATTCTTTGAGTTAGTCTCCTGCTTTGTTTCTTTCTCTGGGCCAAATTCTCTAACAACACTGGATCCTGTTTTGTTTCCTACTTTTACATTCCAGTCACCTAGGATTAACAGCATGTCTTGTTTTGGTATGTTATTTCCTCTTGAACACTCACACAAAAGTTTTCACTTTCTTCTTTAGACTTTCATGATGGTTATTTTGATAGGTTTTCCACAAATTTTGACTGATGCAATTCTGTCAGACTTTGCATGATAGCCCTGACTGCCTGTGCTACATCTTGGCTCAGTATTAGAATCACTGCATTTCTTCAGAGTTCATCGTTTCCAGAGTAAAGACACTTTGTGTTTGACTAAAAGTGTCCCTTTCCAGTTCTCTTTAGTTTGCTCACACCAAGTACTGTGATGTTTAATTTTGGATTGTTTCATCATCAAGTTTTCTAGGGAAGAAAATTCAGAGGTGGTTTTTCATTGCCTTCTTCTAAGTTTCTCACCTACCGTTGCCTTCAGGAGTTTATCTTGAGCTTCACTGCCATTGCCTGTTAGGAATCCTCAGCTAGTGTTGCCTTCAGTTCCCTGAGCTGCCCAATAACTGCCCTTCAGAAGTTTCTCCCCACCCCATCATTTGACAGTGCACCCACAAAAAAATCATTAAGTGTACAATTCAGTTAGCAAAGTTTTGGTTTAGTGTTGGGGCAAGTAAATATAGATATGCTAAAGCAAACAGATAATAATTTAGTCATTTAAAAATTCTTGAAGTTAACACATTTCATCATTAAAATTGGCTGTAATTTAGATCAAAGCTAAAATCCTATGCCATTTAGATTAATAACTCTTCTACAGTCAATCTAACTAAATTTATCAGGATTTTCTTGAGAAAACATGCTTGGGATCTCACTGCAAGAGAATCTACCATGGCTACATTAAACATAAGGCCAATTTTCATATGCCTTCAATATTTCAGAGAAAAAAATTATACACATCATATGTGCATGGAGTTTACAGCTTGGAGAGTGAATTTTCATCAAGAAAACCCATCATAGCCAAAATACACTGCAAAACAACCCATATGCCCCAAGACACTTTTACCAAATGAAATATGTCAACAGGAGAGTGATAAACCTGTGCATCTGATTTACTGTTAAAGGTAAAATGGTTGAAAGAACCCATTATGAATCTTTCTACAATCTAGAACATGAGGCAATTGTATTTTACAATTATTTCAATACTTTTATAATGTAATGTCATGCATTACACAAACCCATGGATTCAGCAGTTCAAAGGGGCCACATTAATGATACTGGTAAGGTATGTAATTTGTTTCACACCCTAAACAAATGACAATAAAATCAATATTTAGACAAGCTGTCCATGTGCCCCATCGTCCAAACTGCTATATGAATTCAGAGAACCATCATAGGTTAATGTACATGTTATTAACTTTAATGGAAAGCATAAATGTTTTAAATTTATGCTCAAATGTTTGCATTTTGAAAAATGTTAAATATCATTTAGCACTAATATAATGAATTCATTTACGATCTGTGCAGTGTCTAAAGGATAGTTTCTTCTAGGGATTCAGAGGTGATTATTTTGCTTTTAAGAACTGAGTGTGAATGATGACATGCACCATCTGCCTCACAAGAAAATTACTATGTTTGGCTATTTACCCTCTCAGTATTATTCTGTGAAATTTCCTGCTAAATGTAAGTAAGCACACTCCCTGCAACTCCCCACACATACACACTTGTGTCATATTTGTGCATACAAAAGACATATTCTTAACCTGCTTCTGATAAGTAACAGTCTGTTGCTATTACTTCCAGGGCAGTGAAACAATGCATTTTTTAATCTATAAGCTATGTTACCCTGCTATTATACTTACCCAAAATTTTCTCATTGAATTAAATGCAATGCAAGTATTTTTTATTGGTCCTAAATACTGCATAAATGGAAGTCCAGGAGTTTGCCCCTGTCCCCACCTACATGCCCACAGATCTGTTCCAGAGGATACCCCATTCTTCTGGAACAAGTTTGCAGGATGCATGGAGCACTTCAGAGAAGGCTCATTGAATCTGCCAGGAGCATCTGTTCTGATGGTGAAAGGTCATGTTTTATTTTCCCATATGCTAATGGATCTTGGCCTATATCAAGGTTACCTCCATAATTTCAGTGTAACAGATTTTTGAAGACAATCATCAAAATGAGTTTATAGGATAGATGAAAGGTATCAAAAATAATTCCAAACAAAGGCAAATAATAGAAATAGAGTTGGAAGGAGTCTATAATTCCATCAAGCCCAACCCCATCTCTGCTTCCACATGTGGACACCCACCGAGCTGCAGGTCTGTGCCTTTCCAGCTTAGGAAAGGGGTCTTGACATGCTAGCTGGGATGAACTGCTATGCAGGAGAAGCCCAATGTATCAAACACATATTATATACCTCTAAACTATTACTAAGAATTTTACAAAATCCTTACATTATTACTTTAAAAAAGTGTTTACACACTGCCTTGATCTATATCTATTAGATCAAGGAATCTTACTGAGCTTTCATATTACCTATAGGAATGATTTCTATATTCATTCCACTCTATCATGGAGCAGGCTTCTGAACCC